AAGGGTAGCCATGCAACGACGTTGCAACGTCGTTTCGAGTTTGTTGAATATAGGCACTCAGCGTTTTGGCCGTTGGCAACGTTGGCGCGAAATTGGGGCCGTTGGGCGCAAATTGGGGCCGTTGGGGCCGTTGAACGGCCGTTGCACGACCATGCCACGACTGTCAGCAACGGCCAGTCTGGGCCGGATTTCGAAAAACTTTTCCCGATGTAGGGAGCTTCTCCCTAAGCTGACGGAGGCTACTAAGCCTTAACTTATCAACTACCAGGCTGGAGCTACTAGGCTCTCTAACCTAACTGCAGACAACTAAGAGTCTTACTAATAGGAATGTAATTAATAGGAGCACTGCCGCTCTAAGTACCACACCTAGAAGAAGGCCTTAGCTAACCTAAACACAGACATTAGTAAGACAATTGCTGTACGCTATATCTACCTAATTAAGGATTACAAGACACCCTACAACTAACTAGTTGCTCTTAAGAAGTTCCTTTGCCTAACTAACGTAACTTGCTGCTGTGAGCTTGCTGACAAGTACAACACTCTTAAGACTACTCTACAAGCTGCAAAGAAGATTAAGCAATAGCTTACTAACTAGGTATACATTACTGCCTAAGGCAAATTAATCACGCTGCTAGAAACTGACAGCAACTAACTGCAAGAGGACTTTCTAATCGCCTGCAAGGCTCTAGATTAGGAATATGCTACGTCCTGCCTACGCGAGATCTTCAAACATGAAGCGCGTGGCACTACTGCAGAGATCTCATCTCTTGAGACATACGTTGCTAAGATGACCACATACCTACGCCGCACGAAGCCTCACTCTACAGGCCTGGCAGTCTCTGCTGCTAAGCTTAGAATTACAAAGCTAACTAAGACTTAATTAACTAGTTGTAGTTACTATAATAGTGCACAATTAATTCCTACCTACGTATATAGGAAGCAGTATTAGTACACTAACTACTTTATCCTAAATCTACGCCACCTAGCACGTCTAAAGACCTATTAGCCTGCAGATAAGGCTGTACGCAAGGTAGAGGAAGCGTAGAAGGACTCTAAGATTAACGCGCGCATTAAGACTACTCTTGCAAGATAGTTAACCTGCTAACCTTAGAACACTAGATTACTGCAAGTTAATAACAGTAAGCTACCTATTAACACTAAAATGTTTGTAATATTAACTAGCCTATTGCTTAAGCCTCTGCACAACAGCTATAATAGCTATAACTACTATAATAGTTATAACAGGCATAATTAAGTTAACTATAATAAGGAGGTTATTATTGCTATTAATGCTTATACTAAGCCTACAGGATCTCTTATAATAATAGCTATTAATAAAATTACTTAGACTAAATTACGCAATTAATAGATTGTTAATCTAGGATCTAATACGCACGTTGTTAACACAGAGGCATAGAAGGGCTAGAGGAGGACAGGTGACAATCTACAACGTTGTTCTATTAACGCTGGCAATACCTGTATCCTCATCACTATGTAGGGAACAATAGAACTTGTTGTCTGTACACCACATAGACAGCTAAAGCTGGAGCTAACGCACGTTGTGTACGTTGAAGGCTTCCTTACAAGCGTCTTAGGACTCGCACGCTGCTGTACAGAGTCAATCTACTTTAACTCTAGCTACAACATCCTCTACATGCAATAGACATTAAACGTTATCGCACAACTTAAATACAATGGAGGACACTGGCTAATTAATGCTAAGCCATTACGCTGACCACCACTGTTGCTTCTCAACACACTGCTAAGTATGTTTAGGGCATTATATCGCCCGTCATACGCGCTAAAGCCTGCCAACGTTGTTAATTAACGCGCTGCTTATTAAATTTAGGGCCACCTAGGTTAAAAGGCAGTTAACTAGCTTAAATTAAACGTCACTAGCGTCTAACTAACAGGAGACTACATAGACTGTCTCTGCTAGACCTGCACTAAAGCTTAAATAACTTACATTATCTTAAGACGCCTGGCTAAGAGCTGCACACAACAACTGTTCTTTTAAATTGCAATAGACTTAATCTACATTATCCCTATAGGAGAGGAGTGTATTAATAGTAGTAAGTACGCCCTACACTCTATAGACAAGTACTTAAAGTGGCATAAGATCGCCACAATTAAGCAAAAGGACAAGCTAACACTTACTTGTTGGTTCATGGCCTTGATCTGTTGAATCCAATGTGTGTACAACGCGGACGTAGTTGCCATCCAATGCGATAACGTGATCCACCATCGCTTCGGCCACACCATCGATTCGGCCACCCTGATGTAGCTGCCCACCTCTCAACCATAATAACTTAACGCCACAACAAGCGATTAGGATGAAAAATATATATAATTACTCACCTAATTCAGCTGCATTTCTTCTACATGTGCGCATATTGTGGCCTGCGTTGCCGCATCCTTTGCAGCGTGGAGTTGACCGCCTGGTGACACCCGCCAGCCGCCTCTCTGCACGCCTCTCCTCAACCACCTGCTCCGCCACCTCCCTCTTAGCAATTATTACCTCTGCCTCTGCCTGTGATAGGGTCCCTCCTTCCTGGATACGCTTTTTTTTGCGACTTTTACGTGCAGAAGCAGCGTTGTTAGCCGCCTCTAAGTTGGCGATCCGAGCAGCTAAAAGCGTCTGAGAATGAACCATCATTTCAGCTCCTTTCTAGAACTGCCGCACCATCTTAATTATTGAAGCTGGAGATGAGCTGCTGTGCGTTCGAATCTAGTTCGAGAGTAAGGTTGATTGTGCACCTATCTCAAGCGCGTTGCTTGGAGTCCTTGGTTGCCAGGAGGTGGCAGTTGGCAGAGGTAGAGTCGGCGTACGAAGCTTCACATCAAGCTTTAATAGCACTACCCCTAGGTTATCTAGAACTAAACCAGCTGCTCTGAAGCTAGATCTAATATTATTAGACAAGAAAACACCCTTATGCACCTTACTATAGGTGTCTAGGAATGCTTTCTTGTTAATATAGTTGATGTGGCTGTTTGCCAAGGCTCTGATCTCTTTCTTGTACGCACGCTTCAACACAGCAAAACAACCTACGTTAAGCAGCTAAAGGAGGTGTAAGGCATAAGCAGGCATGCAAAGGGTAATAACCTTACTTTCTTCACACTTGTTTTAGAAAAAAAGTGATTAGTAGCTCTTATAGCTATTAAGTATAAGCAGTTAGTAACTACTAACTATACGCGCGTTAGTATGCTTTAAAAAGTGCTCTAACTAAGCCAAACTAATCTTGTTTGTTGTCTAGCTGTTCTTACTAACAGCAATCCTCTAGTCCTTATCTTTTTAGTAGTACTAAGCTTAGTTGTGGTGCTTTCCTTTGAGTATGAAAAAGGGTAGTATAGACCACCCTATAGTGTTAATACTAGCAATTAAGGTTATCCACTCACAATTGCCAGGTTAGACTCTAAGTAGCTTTATGCGCCTCTCTAACGCAGTGACAACTTTAACAGACCCTCCAACGCCTATTTAGAAGCCTGTCTCGTTGAAGTTGTAGGTATCTTTGTCCAGGATACTATACTTAGCTTTGACGTTGCGCACAAGGTTAAACTAGGGGCTTATAACCTCAGGATCGCTGCAGAGGACCCTCTGGCGATCGCGCAGGCGGGTAACCTGCGACTTGACGTCGGCGCGCCGGCTTACAAGCTGGGAGACCCAGTTAGTGCCAACCCTCCCTCCATCGCGTACGGCAAGCAGTTGGTTAGCCATATCTCAAACGTACGGAAGCGTAGGAGCAAATCCTCGCTCATTAAGCTTCCTTATTGTTTGTATAAGCACCTCCTCTTCATGCTTTAAAAGATTTAAGCGGCTGGGGTAGAGATTGCGTTGTGCAGTCATGCTAGCGCGTCAGTCACTAAGGGTGCTTTGAGGAACGTTGTAGATAGCAGCAGCGCGTCTTATACTTAATAACGCGTCGCATTTAATAGCTTTAAGTGCAAAGAGTATTCTATCCTCACAAGAAAGCAGCATAATCTTATCAACACTACAGAAGAGCTGGGCATGCTATACGAGCCGGCCCCAGCTGGCACAAAGGAACCAAATGGGCTTATTGAACGCGCAGGCGGAGTCCTTACGCAGCGAGCTCGCGCTATGCGCATACACGCTATAACGGTTTTCGAAATACCATGTACATCACGTGCAGTGGCGAGGGGTATTCTTAGAACTTCAACGCATCACCCATAGGCTAATTCTGAGTGTATTTTGATGATTGCAGCTGTTTTCTTAACCTTCTATACACGCTCAACTTATTCATAAAGCTCTATCGCGACTCTTGCGACTGTTTTCTGGTGTTGTTGGGGCAGAGACTCCGCGTGGCAACCAACCCATGATGCGCGTCAACGGCAAACGTTTACCCGCCACCACGCAGCAAGCTGTAGTAGAGCATATAGCTGCTGTGGAGAAAGATTCCGAGGTTTCTGCTGCCTGCCAAGTCGATCGTCGCACTGTAGCAAAGCTGCGATTAAGCTTAGAGTACTGGGGACAGTGCTATCCTCCGCCTTCTGTCAGGCTCGGCCGCCCGCCTTTACTGCAGCAAGCGCAGCTAGAAGCACTCCAATTATACCTCGATGGGCGACCCGGCGCCTATCTGGAGGAGATGCAGCAGTGCTTATACAACGATTACGACGTGGAGTGCTCTCTATCAACAGTGTGGCGGGCTTTGGAGAAGCTTCACTACAGCAGGAAGCTGGCTACAAAGCGTGCGATTGAGCAAAGCGAGCCACTCTAGAGGGTGTACAGAGCGAGGATGCAATAGTATAAGGCGGAGTAAATCATTGCGATTAATGAGAGCGCTTACAACAAGAGGACTAGCGACTGTAAGTATAGTTAGAGTAGAGTTAGCACGCCTGTTAGAGTAGCTTACTCTATAAAACAGAGTGAGCAATAGTCACTTCTGCCAGCAATAACAGTTAATAGATACCTTAGTTAACGTAATCGGCCATTGAGTCGGCCAGGCAATTGAGCTGGCCACCTTTGCCAAGATCACACCTCATTCCACCTCTCATCTAATGTCTCAACAACCTGATCTTAGATTACTTCCTTGTAAGGATAGGATAATCCTTGCTATCTAAGCTATAAAATCTAACGCGTTAATAAGCCAACAGCGCGCTGCTGCTATCTATGACGTTCCTTGATCAACCTTCTAAGACTAACGCGCTAAAACCACCTCATGACGCGATTCCTACCACGGCAGATCAAGGCTTACTAAGCCTGAAGAGGAGGTGGTTATACAATACATAAGGAAGCTTGACGCGCGAGGCTTTGCCCCTACGCTAAGCTACGTACGTGAAATGGCCAATCAACTGCTAGCTGCCCATGGTGGTAGTAAGGTTGGAGAAAAATGGGCCAGGCACCTTGTAAACTAGAAGCCTGAGATCAAGTCTTAGGTAACCAGACAGCGCGATCACTAGAGAGTCTTGTGCAGTGATCTAGCTATCATCAGCCCCTGGTTCAACCTTGTGCGCAACGTCAAAGCTAAATATGGCATCTAGGACTAAGATACCTACAACTTTAACAAGACTAGCTTCTAGATAGGTGTTAGAGGGTCTGTTAAGGTAGTGACAGCGTCTAAGAGGCGTCTTAAGCCACTTAGAGTCTAGCCTAGCAACTATAAATAGGCGACGTTAATTGCTGCAATTAATACTATAGGGTAGGTTATCCCGCCCTTTATTATCTTTAAAGTGAAGAACTACAACTAAGCCTAGTATCACAACCTAAAGGATTGGCGTATTGGTGTTAGCAAGAATGGCTGGACAACAAATGAACTGGGCCTAGAGTGGCTGAAGCACTTCATCCAGCATACAACAGCCCGGACAGTGGGTAGCCACCGGCTGCTGATTATTGATGGCCATGAGAGCCACAAGTCGCTTGCCTTCCAGGATCTGTGTGAGGAGAACAAAATTATTACTCTCTGTATGCCTCCTCACACCTCCCATAT